TCTCCCTTTTCCAAAGACGCCCAGCCTATGTCATTTTCCTTTGCCGGTTGTCCGTCAAGTTCAGTGATTGCTTTCCACTTGCGCGCAGTGTCCGTCCGGTGGCGAGCAGCCTCGCTTAAAATCTTTATTCCATTCATTATAGTGTCTAAACGTTTCTTCTACGGTTGTGCTGTTCCTCTTGTAGTGCTCGTCGATTGTTTTCTAGGAAATTTCAAGATTTCGTGTGTAAATCCTCGCTGAATGTAATCGTGATAAGAGGAGGCATTTTCTTTGTAACAAATTCGCGATTTGATCAGTTCACCCATGTGTTAAAATCTCGATTGCACCGCGCGCGCCGGCCGTCCGTGATTTTTGTAAACTTTCAGGAGCATTCCGAAGGCTCCGTTTGCGTTCGTGAAATTCATAAGCGACTAAATGTGCCTGCCCTCTCCTAATCGTGAACAATTAGCAGCTTCAGCTATACCTAAAGCCGAGTGAGTTTATCTAAATTCATTTTTTCTATGAACCGTCGGGTTGGCGGACAGTTGGCTTGTGTTTTTTATTTTGTCCGCCTAATATGGAACTTCAATATTTTATTTACTACTTTATTTTTTCTCCAAGTTTTGAATCAATGCATAATATCGCAGTAATTAAAATATTCATAGGGTGTGAGCATTTAAATGCTCAAATCGGGAAATACCTAAGGTATGTATACTGTTTCAACTAGAAACATGTCCCTAAGTATTTATGCAAAAATTGAACCGTTCTGGAGGCGATGAGTCAAATTTTGCTGATTTCCTATTCCAGACAATTGATTGCGGGTGGAAATCATTTTTTTTTCTTCCTAATATTTCGTATTCTGCAGAGGTGATGTAGGTATGAGAGAGGTATCCTGAGAGTAAAATTAAAATGAATTTATTCATTTGTTCCTGCATCAAGAACTTAGCCTCAAAAATCACAAATCATGGATTACGAGTACCTGGTTTTTTAATGTGGTTTAAAGACGATTTTTAAGATCGAGTCACTGTGATTACTTCTACCGACAAAATTTCCACCACCAATCTCCCCCAGCGGCGTGGCGTGAATTGCGATATATCGATTGTTATGCCATTTAAATCTATGGTAAAGAATCGATTGTGAAGGTGTTCGCTGCGAACACCCTGTTTATCGATCCTTTTCCATGGGTTTAAATGGCATAAAAATCGATATATCGCAAAGCACGCCCCGCCACTGATCTCCCCCTGCGCTATTTAAATCCTTGTATGTTTACTGTCCGTTGACTCTCCCCTTCTTCGTCAATTTGTCCCCCCCCCCCCCCCCCNCAACGTTGCCAAATTTCTCCTCGCGAATTGCATATTAACAAGGAAAATGTTGGGCAGTTCTAACCGAAAATTTCACCGATTATTCCTCGGATTTAATGCGAAATTCAGAAAACTTTTGACGAAAAATTGCTCAGGTACATTTTAGTAAAATAAATTAACTGTTTCAAACAATTTCGCAACCTTGGAATGGAGTTACTCTCCTTCGTCTGAACGACGACGAATTGGACCTGCCTCTCATGAAGGAGAAAAATCACGGATGTTTTTAAGCATTTATTATATGTGGCGTTTCAGCCAAAAAATTAAGTATGACAGAAAATCTGCAACGTCGCCAGCCGAGCCACGCGGTTTGGGTGTTTGCGTCGTCGACATGAGGTCAATACTCCATCAATTGAAATGTTTGCCCCTTGCCCCTTCATTGGCCTCCATAAAACCCGTGCGAAATGAAGGATGCGACTTATCGAGCTTCTGTGTGTGCTGTGGTATCACTCAAAATTGAAGGCACTTTTTCATTCGTGGAGCCTGTCGTCGTCGCGTTGCGCTGAATGTCTCTGTCAGTCGTCATACCGGACTTTAATTATACATTGGATTTTCTCCCGCAAATACGCGGTCAGTGGAGAAAAGGTTCAGCTTAAGGCAATTTTGCGCCCGTTCCCTACAAGGGGAGAGGAATAAATACGCCTGCCAAAATGCCTTCAGTAATATTCGAACGGCTCTTGTTTTCTGTGTTGAATTTTCCGATTTGTTTCAACTTACTTTCATAGTCGATGCCACTATAAGGATCAGCAACTGTTTCTCTCATTCAACGAAAAACTAATTGCCTTTGGACATGTCCATAGACTGATTTAGTGGCTAAGTCATAGTTGAATCGTAAACATACACGCAATTACCGAGAAAGTCAATAATATTTACCGGGATTTCTCGGTAAAATTACCAATTCCATCAATGGTAATTTTACCAAGAAAAAACTGGGATCGAATAGAACACTGAATTCTTGGTAATTTCACCCTTTTTTTAGTAAATGTACCGAGATTTTTTTTTCAGTGTACATGTCAAAATATCGTATTTTGAAAAACTTTAAATTCTTAAATTATAATTAAAGTTCAATTGTAAACATACCCGCAACCCTCACTGAAAAAAAAGTCTCTTGGACCTAGTGTCCAGACTCAAAAACAATTTGACAAGAAAATATACTGTTGATTCAATCGGATTTTTGCTTGAATCAAAGGGAAATCCGCTTAAATTAAGAGGCTGGCCCTTATTCAAGCAAAAATCTGATGGAATCAAGAGTGTAGTTCTTCTTGTCGAAAATTGTAAGAGTCTGGATTCAAGATCCAAGACACTTTTTTTTCCAGTGTTGCCTTTGATTCGCGTCGTTCGCGTCATGGTGGTCAAAAGCACTTATGTGTTTCTTACGATCTACATTTTGCCCAAATTGAGTCCTTAATTGATTTAGGGTCTAACAATGGCTACATTGTAATGAATTAACGCAATTGACTCACGAAGAATTTGCACGTGGGGCTACGTTAGGTCACATTCTTTCTGGTTTGAACCAATACTTTGATATTATGTATATCAAATGACGTAATCACAAAATCAGTCATTCTGGCCATTCAAAGAAGACTATTTTTAAGAAAATTCTCCCCATAAATTTCATACAGGGCCACAGGGGGGGGGGGATATTTTATGGTATCAAATATCACGCTCATAATCAGTTAGAACTCATGTCGCTTGTGATATTTCGAAATTCTTGATCTATGGATTATGCAATGCAAACCTCTAAAGATCTAGATTTTGAGCAAATTCCGGCATTGATGGTAACAATTCTCCTCAAGATCCCTCCACGGGTGCAGCATGTTCAATAACTAACGACCAATCGGTCGTTCGCAAACTTCGTAGACATTGTGAAAATTGCGTAGGCTACAACCTTGCATAATGAATTATATAAAATGTATTCCTTTTTGATGAAAACGCGCTCCATTTTTGTGT